AACGGCGGTTGCTCGATCAGTTACCGGACATCCTGTATATAACTGTGTTCCATATATATGGAAATAGTTCTGTAATTGTAATAATAGCTCAATGAAAAATTTTTCATATATAATTATATAAAATTATATATAATTATATATAATTATGTATAATTATATATATAAATTCATATATAATTTTACATAATTACGCATAAATTTATATGTAATTATACATATTGTTATACATAATTGTGTATAATTATATATAATTTTATATGATTATATATAATTATACATAATTATGTATGGACAAATTTCATACAAAATTTTCATACAAATGAAAAATTTTTCATCGGGAGTTAATATTATAATATAGAAAATTATGTTATATAATAGTTAATGTTGCAACAGCGTTGCTGGCAAAATTGCAAAATATAATTTTTGCTCCAGGTATACGAGATAAATGTCACAAGCGCGGCTCGTAATCATGACTATTTACAAAAAACATCTATTTTGCAATTCATTTACATATCTTCGCAATTTATTACGGATCCACTACAACCTATTGGAATAATTTATCGCTTAATGATAGATATTCGACGGATATAATAATGTCAACGGCGTTTGGAATAAAATCCAACTGCTTAGTTGAGCCGAACAACGAATTTCGACGCTGGGGAAAGAAAGTGTTTGAAATGAGCGCCATTTGGAATGCTCTGTTGATGTTTGCGCCGCAAGTTATGGATTTCTTCTCCATCCCCAACACGGACCGCGGTGTCAGCAAGTTCTTCACGAAGCTATTTCAGGACAATGTAGAGTACCGGAAAGCTCACAACGTAGTAAGACACGATTTCATGAACTTACTCATGCAACTCATGGACAAGGGTTACGTCGAGCCCGATGACGATAATAAGGATAATAAGGATAAAAAAACCGCCGATAAATCTTGTAAATACACATCTTAATTGCATTCATTTTCATAGACATTGTGGAAAGTCTCGTAACAAACGTAAACTTGCGTAACAATCATGTGAATCGAGCGACGACATTGTGGAAAGTCTCGTAACAATCATAAACTTACGTAACAATCACGTAAATCAACGTAAAAGCATTTTTGGCATTCTAAAATATCTTTAACATCATTATGCGAGATCACTAAGCGATTTTAATGCTTTATATTTCCAATGCAGCTAACACGAATAAACTTACCATGCTGGAGGCGGCCGCGCAAGCCTTCGTCTTCTTCTTAGCGGGCTTCGAGACATCATCGACCACGGCAACGTTCTGCCTGTATGAATTAGCTCTGAACCAGGATATACAGCATAAGGTTCGCCAGGAAATCGACGAGACATTGAAAAAGCACGGTGGACTGACCTACGATGCGGTGAACGAAATGACGTATCTTCACAAAGTAGTCGAAGGTAAACCCGACATTCTCGCCAAGCATATCGCCAAGCATTTTTTTCTTCGCAAGGAAGCTGCAAACGTCGCACGGTTGCATTTTGTAAGATGTATCTTCCTATCTCTTTACACGTGCAGAGTCCCTGCGGAAGTACCCACCTGTGCCCGTCTTGAATCGTATCTGCACAAAGAAAATAGTCCTCCCAACGACAAACATTCTCGTGCCGGAAGGGACTTTGGTCACTATACCAGTACTTGGAGTGCAGCGAGATCCATCAATCTATCCGAATCCGGACAAATTTGATCCTGAACGTTTTAATGCGGACCAAGTGGCGGCGAGACATCCTTACGCTTACCTGCCGTTTGGGGAAGGTCCGCGAGTCTGCATTGGTAAGCATAGCTCTATCTGTTTGTAATGTACTTCCATATTTTTTGGGAGAAGTGAAATCAACATTGATTTCTTCAGTTTGCAAAATTATACAAGTTTTAGAATTTGTTATATCAGAATTAACCTTATAACCTTAGACATCAAAAAATTACGTAAGACCCTAAATATGGGTAAATTTTCCGCAGCGCATTTTTATTTGTTCATAACTTTCATAAAAATGATCAAAACTTAATCGTTTTTTTTTTAATTTATCTAAAAATGTAAAATATGAATCTATTGATGTTATTGCGATTTAACGAAGCTGAGAAAAGTTATAATGAAAAAGCGAAACATATGTTTCTAAGAAAAATAACGTTTAGAAAATTGGATTAGATAATTTTTGTCCGTGTTTAGGATTCTAGGCTTAAACATAGAGACCATTCAACAATTATATCACGCGAGATTCAAATACTTTTATTTCTCTTTCAGTCATTCTTGTTATACTTCGTCAGAAAGTTTGAACCAATATTACGTGAAAATAAACCCCTTCCTCTTTTATATAGAATAAGAAAAAATAGTTTATAATCATATTGCGTGTAAAAATTATTAGATTCTGTTATTAACTTTTTCTATAATACAAATAATTCTTAGGCACAATATCAAATTAATTACTTTAATTTATAATTTTAATTTATAAAAGTTCAGAAAAATAAAATTTCAAAATTAAAATCACGATTAGCAACATAAAATTAAATTATCTTTATAAAATGTGTAATAGTTTTAGATATAAAAATTTAGATATAGAACACATATAATGTTCCATAACCTTTATTATCCCCCTTTCCGCCATCACAGACTGTCTTCATTGATACCAAAATGGAGCGCGCTCTCACAGAAACCGTAGTGAAGGAAATAATCTAAATTGAAAACTATATTCGTGTATGCTAGCTGGAGCTTAGAACGCACATATACACAGCTCTCGGTTGGTGTTATTTCCTCCTGACGACAATAATAAGGATACCACCGATAAATCTTGTAAACATACATCTTATATTTGTTTTCACAGCGACGACATTGTGGAAAGTCTCGCTTATGTAACAATCACGTGAATGGAGTGAAAGCACGTTCGGCATCCTAAAGTATCTTTAACATCATTATGCGAGATCACTAAGCGATTTTAATATTTTATATTCCCGACGTAGCTAACACGAATAATAAACTTACCATGCTGGAAGCGGCTGCACAAGCCTTCGTCTTCTTTTTCCGGCTTCGATTTCTTCGAGACCGCATCTCCATTCTAGCATATCATGGCTAGCAAGCTAATAGACTTATCCTCCATTCGTTCATCAAATTATATATATATATATATATATATATATATAT